ACATCAGTGGCAGCAATTAGCACCCAGGTGTAGCCAAGGTCTTGATGGCTGATGTTAATAGCAGGGTCAAAACTTCAGTACTTTGCCACCCTTAATTGCAATAAAAATTAGTTAGCGCTGCTGAAGTTATGCTTGAAGAGGAAAAGAGATCACTTAAAATAAACTGCAGGAATTTTACTCTATAGTAATATCCATGATTAGTTTCTTCTGCTGGAAATTCTGCCCACCCTTAGTGCTCATTCCTGACACAGCAATGGCACAGATGGGGTTTTTTTCGCCCAACCATCATGTTCTCTTTCCCAGCACACCCAGCTGTAAGCAGCACCTTCCCACCCGATGCTTTTTCAAGCTAAAAAAAAAAAAATTAAAAAAAAAATTGCATCCAGTTACAACAAAGCCACACAATGAAGTATTGATACTAAAGGCAAAACAACGCAGCAACAGCACCCACAAGGCAGTCCCAGGGCAGCAGCACGAATGCATTCTGCTTCGGCTTCCTCAGGAAATAATTCCCTGCTACAGTAGTTGGTAAAAACAGCTATTCAGAGAGAACATTGGTAATTGGGTATAGAGTTTTGGCTCTGTGTAAAAAAAATAAAAAAATCCAGAACTGTTTGAAAATGTTGTGTGAAATTGTCCTGTTTTGCTAGAAGAATGAATGTGTACAAAGATCCATACACAGGATGTTTCACTTGGGATCAGGTGAGGGATTTCAGCCCTCGATTATCCATTTAGCAGTTAGTTCACCTCGATACAGTCCAGTCTCCTCCGTCAGCCGGTATTCCACACCTCTGCTGCAACGCTAACGAGGCATCACTGCCACTCATTCACTGTCAAATGCAAGGGTTGTGATCGGTGTCTACTAAGTATTAGCTCAAGAAGTGGTTTGTAAGTTCCTTTGTTTCTGAAGTACATGAGTTCAGAAATATATATGCTGTGTATCTTGGAACAGAATGCAGCAACAACCTCCTCATCCCTATCAGACATTTTAGATCATGCATCCATAAAAATCAACTCCACACATGTTTTGAATGGGCAGCTTTCACATTTCTTGCAGGGCAGCAGGCAAACTGCAAGGAGAGCTGCTCTACCGCCGTCCAGGGGTGCAGCAGGGGAGGGAAAAAAGAGTTAACAAGTCTGGTCTGATTCCTTGGATCATACGGATCACTCAGAGTACTAAGTTATTTCTAATTATTTGAGCAACAGCTTCCACACATGCTCTGTACACAGAGTTCTTCCCAATTCACGTGGTGTTCCACTAGATGCCCATATTTCTGCAATTAGTCGAGCCTGACGGCGCAGAGGCTTTTGGAGTAAGCCAAGCTCGCAGACCAAGTTTTATGTGTAACTGTGACAAAGGAGCTCACGTCCTGCGGCCTCACCTTTCTGCATCAGCTACCTGGAGCTGTCTAAAGTTACAGCCGTGCTTTCCTGCGGGTTTATGAACCGGAGTATCTCTTGTTGAATGACACCGCAATTAGCAAGGAAGGGCAACGAACCTGCAGCCGAGATGGCAGGCGAAGAAAAGGGGCCCTCTCCCCCAAGAGATCCCTTTGACCCCCCAGATTGTTTTGAGATTTTTACTGCAGGCAGGTGGCTGCTAGTGGAAGGAGAATAGAATTCTTCACTGTTTACACCTTGTTGGATTACCTGGCTTATTTTTCCTGTTCTCTATAAATGTATCCGCAGTGAGCATTAGGTTGAATGATAATTTTGAGGCTGCGGAGTGAAAAAGAATTCTTAATAAAAAGAGGCTTTAAAAGGAGTGGTCACACGAGTCAAATCATACAATTATTTTGCTAATAATTTTCAGGCCTATAACACTAGCAGTATTTTTACTCACTCCCTGAACATGACAGAGTGCATAGTGTTAATTTTTAGCTCAGTGAATCAGAGAAATACAGTAGTAGTTGCTCTCCAACAAGCTAAGCACAGCTGAATATAAAGCTAAGTTCCCAAATCTGCACTGTTACACGAGAACGTGTCATGAATAAATCAACAAATTCACTGAACTGAACCAAAGTGTTTGAGGATTCGGAAGAGACTCCTCCATACACACTCCTCCATTGGTTAAAATACTGCGCTTCTATCCTACCCACCCCAGTCCGTTATTTCGGTAACAGCACAACTCTTACGATTAGCACAGCTTGAACACGAACATTCATGGCACTGACAAGTGTGTAAACTTTCCACTTACTGGAAGCAGAAACATTTTTGGTACTTGCAAATTCAACATTTCTACTGGAGTCCAAGTAACAGTTATCACCAAGTCTCAACTTTGGGAGTCTCCAGGCAGAAAGAGAATTATCAGGAATTCTGTGAAAAGACATTTAGCTCAGTTCCTCATATCTTAGGGCATCCCAGTGACAGACATTTCACAGAGAACATTTCTTTAAGCCTTTAACTACTACAAATAACTCACAGACTGGCATAATTTTAAGCTCATTCTCCATGTATACTAACGTGCCTGCAGATGTAACCACACAAAGATTGCACTGATCTCAGGATGCCCAACATCACCACTTTAAAGAAGTTTTTATGGAATTTATTGCAAAAAATAAATTCTAGTATATTTGGCAATGAATTAATACATCTAGAAATTAACAGTATCTTTCAAATAAGAAAAATAACACTTCCCCCAGAGCAGTAATCTTTGCTAAGGAGGCAGACGTGACCTTACATACAATAGCTCTTCTCATGTGTTTGTTTCTTTGCCTTAGAAAGGAATTCATTTTAAAACACTAAAAGTTGTTTTTTATCAGAAGTAGTTAATCACAGTGTATTCAAGAACTTTCACAGTAGCAAGTTAATGAATACAGAGCATAGCTCTTCTGGTGTGAGTGAAATAGAACTGGAACAGTTTTAGCCTCTTTTGAAAAATCAACACGTAGGAGAAAATGTTATTTAGAAAAAATATCAGGAAATCATACCTCCCCTCAAATGCTGGCATGAAACATTAGTGAAGTCAAGGCAAAACTCCCACATCTGCAGCGAGATTTGTGCCTTGGGTTGAAGCCATTTGAAAAGCCACTGTAAAAGCCCTTTCCAGGACAAAACTCAAAGACTAGACTCCCAAGCTTTATTTGGATAGCTGCCCAAAAGCTCCCACCCTTTATAAAACATAGAAAGGCAAGCACAGCAAAGTCACCTGAAGAAAAGACAGCCTCCAGAGTCTTCAAGGTAATTAAGATATATGGAACCATTTCACTGAATTTATTTTTCTAATGTTTGTCCAAAGTTCTCCAGAAGTGTCCTCTGCTGTCCAGGGAGACACTAACCCTCCTCTTTTATCAAACAAGCTAATTTGCATTCCACAAAATAATTGTATTTTGCAAACAGACAAGACACATTGCAGCTTCTCAAGCTTTTTTAATCCTCTTGATGAGAATGAGGAAAAAATAAATCAGTAAAAGACTTTGAAGTAATACAGCTTTCTTGGACAGTAGAGAGGAGGTCAAGAACTTGGGCTCTGGAAATACAGCACAAATTCCATGAGGAAGCGGTAAACAAATCCTGCCTCAACAGCCATATACTTCAACCTTGGAATGTGTGCAGGGTAGAGCCAACAACAACAATGGCAGGTGAGCCAGATACCCTCTGAACTGCTGGCGTAGTGAGTGAATTCAGAGTAGTCTTCCTCCCTTCCACCTCCGTGACCCAGCAAAGCTATGGGCTTGCAGCGATCATGAACAAAGACAGATACAGGCACTTGGTAAAGGATCTGGTTCTAAACCCATTAAAGCCAATTAAAAGACTGCTGGTAACTGGCTTAGACCCTGAGGAGGGAACAGAAGTAGTTTACAAACCCAGAACAAGTTTTAAATGCATAACTGTTAGTTAACATTGGAAAAAGACACAATGATTAAAATCCAGAGCTATCTGAAAGGAAGCTAAACCTCTCAGATCATGATCTCATGCAACCATTATCCAGACAAGGTTGAACATTTTGACAAAGACAAGACTGAAGGATTCCCCTTGCTGCAGGAGCTGGCGCAGCCACTGCAGGGGTGGATTAACAAACGGCCCCGATTACTGACTGCGATGAGATCCAAATCTAGTTTGTTAGCTAGTCTCTGCAGCGAAGCAGCTGAAAGAGCTCTGGAGTTTCGGGTGCCTTGAATTTTGTTCACTATTCTCCCTCCAGTAACTTCAACTGACCTGATTGTTTTTATGATATCTGAAGGGACTGACTAATTTACTGCAACCTTCCTGTTGAAATATTTTTATAATTGATCATAATTGCAATAATTGATCATAATTGCTCTTTGTACAGGCATTTCAAAATTCCAGAGACAAGTCTAAATTGCATCCAAGTACAGGAAAACAATGACGATAATCCAAGCATTGCCCTACTATCTTTTTTTTCCACAATGTATTTAATGACCTAAGAAAGTTACAAAAGCAACTTTAAATTACATTCACATATATAAACTGATTAAATATATTTAGCTAACACTGATAAAATAAAATCCCAAGTAACATGAAGACAAAAAACTTTAAGAGATGATTGATTCTAGAGTAATTTAAAACATTTTACTGAGTCTTTGGCTGTAGCAGTCGAATAAACCCTTACAGAAGTATTACTTGTCATTAGAGACCACTGAACGCTTACCTCATTATCCTCATTTTAGAAAGCAAATGAATGATTAGTCCAGCATTAACTTCCATAGTTTTTATTAACTGCTGTATTCAGGGAGAACAATTTCATTACTTATTCTACTTTTTTGCCATTTATTTCAGTAAGTGGCAAAATTCAGTGGCATCAAGATTTTTAATACTCAGAGCACTTTATTAGACACTGAAAGACAAAATGGTTAAGAAGTGTGGCTTGTAAGATAACGTTTAAAGGATATCCAGATAGCTATGCACATGTATGCTTAAACTCATTCAAGTTGAAGGAAACTCACAGTTTAAATTCATGTGGCACATAAAGGTATGAATGTTGTCAATTAATGTTCCAAGTCACATGTGGTGAGAACATATTCACAAAGACCAAAAATAAATTACAGATACTTTATTATCTACGAATACTTTAAAGTGTGGCATTTCCTGACAATGCTTAGAGAGAATCATCAAGTAAAAGAATGCAACAGTTTTAAGAACTTGTGAAACCCTGATGACTGCTAGTTTCCACTTAGTTTTCTCATGATAGGGCTGTCAGGTTCAGCATTGGTGAAAATACTTCCTACAACCACGTGAGTACCCCACATGATATGACGTATAACTTTGCAGCAGCCAAGATCATCAACGTAAAATCCCAAGTGGCGGTAGCGTTCATCCGTTTCAAACAGAGTGTTGTTTGTGTAAGGTCCAAAAAACTAGGTGGAAAAAAAAAGAGAATTTTTCATGTGAACATTTCCAAGAACATTTAAAATGTCAGAACTACCTCTTTTTAAACAAAACCACCTAAGCCCAGAAGTACCAGTTACATCTGTTGGAGGAAATTTTATGTACAGTTTTATTCATGAAATCTACACATGAAGCTAAGCAGAGCACCTCTGGTTATACTGGTACCCCATATTTAAAGACTTCCCTTTGTCACTAAGAGAGTGCTTAAGGTGTATCAGTGTGTTTGAATGTCTAATCAATCACACACACTAAAAACCTCAACAACTTTGGAAAGGTTCTCCTACAGGCATCAAGGACAGAACCCTTCAGTGAAATAGCAAAACTAAGACCTGTACCTCTTCAAAGATGCTTTGAGGAGCAAAATGTGTACAAACTGGAAACAGGTCTTTCAGTTGCTTTATCTCAGAAGGAAGCTTCTGACCAAAAGGCTACTCCTGACAAACAGGTTATCAGTAAGGGTCTTACTGCTGAACTGGAGCCCAAAGACAGAACCCTACTTTCATCAATCCATAACTATTCCTTAATGCATGGCATTTCTAGGAAGACTATACACACCTTCAACGGCCTGTTCACTTTATAAACATCCCCCGCTAAACCCATTTGCCTCTGTTGACACAATAAATCGCTGCCTTTCACAGTGTTTTTAAATAAAAACCCACTAAACTGAGCTTTGCCATGATTATGTTTAATTATGATATGGTTTTAACAGTTCTCAGACAAAAATACGTATGTGCTCATGCTTTGAGAGAAGCTTTCTCAATTCTCTCTATAAGTTTTAAGACCCTTTATGTTTCATAGATGTCTTGGTAAGAAACTGTCAGCTCCTCCTGAGAACTGGTGTAATCTGACAATGAAAGCTAACACTTTAACAGAAAAAAGAGATAAATTTTTTCTACATAAAAAAAAGATATTATTAACTAGGGCAAAGAGATTTAAAAATTCCCATCTACGCAAATAGGTGTCAGGACTATCAAGGTACCTAGGGAGCGCATAACCAGCCTATTGTGCAGTGACTAAGAGTTTGGCCATAAAACTTCATGAAAAAGGTGGATTTAACCCATGTAGAAGAATACAAATACCACTGCTGGTCAGGACATAGCAGCACCCGTTGCATATTCCACCCAGCACATAACTTACTGCCAATCCTGAGGATGGGTCAACGAAGTCAGCCCAATAGCCTTCCGAAATAATTGCATAGCAAATTTCCTTGGCACCATTAATGAACTTTAAAAGAAAATAAAGAGAAAGAAGGATACGGAATAAGATTTTTGTTACATTATCTATATACACCCATGCACACATCAGAACACATATAAAATATTCTGAAAATGAACAAGCACAGATTTATTTTGGCCTCTACTGATAAATGGGAAATTCAGCACACTTTCAAAAAAATAATTAATAATATTAGGAGGATTAGAATTAACGGTATGTGTTAGGCTACTCCAATCATGAGATTTAAAAGTGTTCCTTGTGCCAGTCAGTAATGGATTAACAGCTTCTACAAGGAATAATGTAATTCCTTTGATTATTCATGCAGATTACAATCATACCTGTTATCCTCTTTAAGAAGTCAACCATTACTTCAGGTATTTCTGTGTTATTTCCATGAGTTTACAATCTCACCTAAACTCCACAAATTTGACACTAAATGTAGCATTACACATATTTTTATAAATATATGAAAAACATTGTTTTGCTGTACGATTTTATCTCAGCCAAAAGGACAGCATTATGCAGTCCTTCCTGCACTGCAAATGACTTTAAAGAACATTTTAGTTTTGCATTATAGCACACAGTTACATAAACACTTGACTTTTACACCAATCTACGGCAATTCTCTTGTTGCAATTAACTGGCGCTCAGAACGATGATTTCAAACTCTCCCACTATTTGACAAACAAAGTTTTAGGTAATTTTTCAATTACACTGGAGGACACCAGATGATGTTCCTGAAAATAGTATTTTCAATAAAGCAACATGCCAAGAAGTTCCCTGTTCTGTAATACATCATCAAAACTTTTTCCTCTCTGAAGAGACATCTTAGAGAATCTACTTTTTTCTTGTAGCAAACTTTTAATGTCAGCTACTTTGAGAAAAGAAGCTTTTTTTTAAAAAAATCTTTGGTGTTGATTTGCAGTTATCTGTCAGATAAAGAAGAAAATTCAGCCAGGTAGATTTAAAGCTCTGCTTCCGTATTCTGACATCACAACACAGGGCACAAAATAATTAACACCACCTAGCGATTACACAGACACTTTTTCCACAGATAAATCAGCAAGAACAGGAGACCCCAGTTCTGTACTTTTAATGACCTAGACCTGCAGTTTTCAACCCGTGTTATGAGGGCCCCATAGAAAACTTCTGAAGAAACCTGCAAAGGTGAGTGCGAAAGAAAACCAAAAGCACCACAAAGTTGAGGTATGTAATGGTTCTAAAACCATCCATGCACTGAGAAAAACATGTCCAAGTGCAAAAATCTAAATGCTGAAGACACTGAGCTACAGGAAAGCAGAAATTCACATAGCTTCCTTAAAATGTGAAAGCAATTCCCTAATCTCATAAAAAAGAAATATTTCTAACTTCAGAACAAATATAATATTTTATTTACTTTCAGTTATGAAAATTGGACTGTTGTCTATAATTAGTGCCCTTAGGAGCTCAAGGTTTCAGATTTATAGAAATATTATTACAGGTACTCAGCTTCAGGTCCCTAATGGTCCAAAATAAGGGAAATTTATCCCTTCAGTAATCTGTTCTGAATTTTGAGGTTTGATGGCTCTGATGATTAAAGTCAGCCATCTGAAGACAGCATTTTAGGCATTACATTTCTGACCCAGAACTTCTTTTGATTCAGTGTTGTAACAACCCCTCAGCAATCACTTGGAGCACAGTTAACAAACACTCGAGAGGCACTACTGTAAACATTTTGATTTGGCTGTACATAACCCTCATTACTTCAGCACAAGCCTCTCACATTAAATTAGTATTTATAAGGTTACTTCTAACCATCTATGAAGCAAACAAACAGACCATTTTCTTGTGAATTTGCTGTTAGTAACCTTTAGGCCAGGAGGTTACATCCAACATCCTAACACCCCTCCAGTGACTATATTAGACTTGACAGGGAGGTGCACAAGGAAGAAAGATGCCAATTAACATATAATTAGACCAGATTACAATGCCAAAGACTAACAGACCATAAATAATTCAAAGAGAAGAACACAGTAAAATGAAGGGAATTTTAATTTGTGTATAATCTCTATGTTGATCCTTCAGACTGCTTCTTCCTTTTCATGTGGTAACCCTTGCACTGCTTTATACAGGCCACACTTGCAATTTACAGGATTGAAAACAACATTAGCAGACTATTTTCAAAGATAAATATGACCCCCCACTGCACAGATGAAAATCCCACAGGCTGATTTTTACTAGTTTTAGGAAAATTATAACAACAGAAACATTTTGAGGTGCTAAGAAAAGAATGTCAGCCGTGGTGAACACTGACACCTGCTGGAGTACACGCCAAAAAATTCGGAAGAATGTGAAATAAAGCGATTTTCAGAGAGACCTCTAGTGGCAACAGAGCCAGACAACAAAGTTCATGAGGATGGTAAAGATGTAATAAAGGTAACTGATAACTCAGGCCAAAAGCATTAACCATGCTCATTATCGGAATGGAAAAAAAACCCAGAGCAATTGCTTTTTACAAGTAAGGATGCACTAATCAACAAACTCTGTGCTGGAATCTCAATTACATCACAGAGAAACCAAGAGAGCAGTGAAATCCCACAAAACGCTTTGTAGTAAAGCTGAAATAAGGTGAGAAAAGAGTTGCTGCCCTTTAACTGCAACAGGACAACAATCAAGTATCTGCGTTAATGTGCTGTAGCATTTTACAATATTTTAGTATATTTTTGACTCACCCCACTCTGAAGAATTTAATAGTTCTGGGAGATATTTCATGAAGAATAGTCAAAAAGCTACAAAGCTGGAAAAAAGTTCTCAATTTTATCAGCAAGAGAACATAGGATTAGCCCAAAAATGCTCTAGAAAGTAATAGAGTATATTACTACCAGAGCTAGAAAAGGACCAAAATATACACATAGTACACAGAAGACTCATCTACAAACAAAAATAAACTGATGCTACTGTCACCTACTTACGTTTTCTAACAGCATTTCTCTCTCATCCTCCACTTCTTGACTCCATACAGTCATATCATTTTTAGTCTTCTGGCTGACAGTTAATACTGTTAAATTGTTGGTATTCACCTCTGGAAACATTGATTGAAAGTCTAAAAAAAGTGAAATCAGCATATTATGGCTTGTTCTTACCTTTTTCTTACAATTTTTCAGTTTTAGACAAATTATTGACCCTACTTTAGAGCCTGCATTTCATTCAAATCCAAGATACACATGTGTTTTTTACATCAAATCCAGCAATCAACATGTTAGTTTGAAATGTGGACATTGCTTTCGAGGAAACTAACGCACCATGGCAAGGTCCTGTTAAAAGCAACTTAGGGAATGGAGTTTCTCATTTCAAGAACTCCTATTTAATTGCAAGATGATAAAAGCCCCATTACTCTGCAGATTTCAGAATGTGCAAGCAGGTGCCTTTCTTTGCAAAGATATAACACCCAGTATATTTTAGCACTTTGAATTGAACACCCCCACAGCTCTCCACACACAAGATGCGAAGACCCTTATTTTCTGGCCAAGCCACATTGCACGATGCACACCAATTTTTACATTAAATCTTTCAGTAGAAATGCTTCAGATCTACTTCCTAGGACATGACAGCAGACTTGGTATCAGTAATGTACCATTAGGCATGAGTTGTGACAGTTTTTCCCCTGGGGCAGAGAAGGCCCAAAGCCATTGTGATTCTCTCTCTACATCATCTCTTGGACTACCAACAGGAAGCACATGAAGCACTGAAGTCATGATGAGGCTTCACAGAACCTTGTTTTCAGAGTGGGAGGAAAAAAGCACTTTCCCGAATTAAAAGCCCAAAGGTTCATTCTTTCTTACTCTCTGAAAAGTACGCTCTCTTCAGCATCTAGACCAAGATTTCAGCCTATCCCCTCTTTGAGTATATCACCTTTAAAATTAGAAAGTTTTATTCCAATTTAATTCCAATAATTTCCTCCTTCAGCAAACTAAAGAAAGAAAGATATAAACTCAATGTTTTCAAATAGTTTCATAATTTCAATTTGCTGTTTTACTAAGAAGCAGTGACAAAAGACTTGGTTTTGTCACAAACTGGGTTTTGGATAGTGAATTAGCTCCAAAATCTACCTGACACTAAAAAAGCAGCTGAAAGTTACTCCCTGTCACAGCAGATCTTTAATTTAAATGGCACTGAATTTTATATGAGATACAAAGTACTGTCAACAGCAAAGTTTCAGATTTCATTTTAGAGGATGTATTTCTCTTTTGCAAAATATTAACTCTGGATTACACTTTTCTATTACACGTTCTGTGTATCAGTTACATCACAGCGTTTACTTACATGTTTTTACATTTTTTAAAGTTATAACTTCTTAGCTATCGAAAAAAGTGAAGACATACCTCTTCGTAACAGTTCAGGACAAGCTTGTACTGCACATTCAACATCTGCATTTTCAAAGTAAGTTTCAGCATTATTTATTTGCTGTTTCTGTGCAACATCAGCACCCTGTAAAAAATTAAAACTGTAACTTTCCCATTCATTAAAATATAACAGCAATAACTCTGTACACCACACTATGTTTTTGTCACTACATGTCCACTGATACACACAAGCAGTTTCACAGAAAGATCATTCACAGTGAGACTTAAAATTCATTTTTCAAATATTAAAAGTGGAACAGATATAGGTATAACCTATTGCTCAAACCTATACAGAGATTTTAAGCTTTATGTATTAGTGTAACCTTATTACCCCAAAGCCTTAACCAATAGAGAAGTGAATTTTTTTGAACAATATCTTTCTGAAACAACAGCCTCAAGTATTCAATACAACAGCAATTAATAGATTTCAGACATGCACACACTACCTGAGCCAAAATAAAACTTTATTTTATAGTTCTAGAGCTCTATTAGCATTTTCAGCTTTAGCTGTTGCAGCCCAAAAAGCAGAACAGTTTTCCAATAATAGCATTTTTATTCTTTACTGTTTTTTGGTTTTACAGCTTCTAAAAAAAACCCCAACCAACCAAAAAAAAAAAAACCAGATTCTAGTAGGTATGTTACAAATGGAGCAACTGTATGTTAGATATCTAGCATTTAAACTCAAAATGCTCTTAAGAAAGTAGTAACAACAGCTGCCTCCTTTGGGATAGCAACTGTTATGTAATAGGCATAGAATGCCTTAATACAGTTTTTCTAGCTCTAACTATGCCACAATTTACAAGGAATTTGGTAAATTTCTCTAATACTGAAATTACAACACTGAGTAGTACATTAAGTCCTGACTAAAACCTGTTTGTATCTGCTTCTTGCTGACTTTCTGAATACCATCTGCAGAACCTGCCTCTGCACTTTGCTCTTTCCAGTTTCTCCCTTCCATTTTGGACAGCAACAGCTGCACAGGGCATTTTATTACACAAGTGATCTTGCTAGAAAGCAGACATACATTCAGTGCACCTGGTCTGCAGTAAATGAACTACAGTAGAATCGTCTGCTGGGCTTTTAACAGAAAGGATGAGCCACACAAGCTGAAAACCATCTCAGGAGCTCACCAGAAGCTTATGTTTTCTGAAAACTTTGGAATACAATGCTACATTTACAAAAAAACCCACCAGACAGCATTTTTACAATGGAGATTTGCTAGCTGACTGCCAAAGTCTGAGCATGTCACAACCTCAGAGAGCCTGGAAAGTTGAGTCAGCAGCGAGTAGCAATAGATATTTGTTGAAACGTTCCAGTCACATTAGCAATTATTGAGCTGCTTGTTGTTAATAATGCATCTATCAATTCCATTTGATAAAAGGTGATGAGACTTGGTAAACAGCAAGGTTTGAAACTGAAGTTTCCTTTTCCCATATCCATATAAGTAAGTCACTACCAAAATAATTTTTCACTAAGCACTGCTCAGTCAAACAAAACCACATCCTGAAATATTTATTTCTCCTAAAAGAAAAAAAAACTTCAGACAGTTCTACATAATCTCTCACTCATCCCAGTTAAAACTCATCTTTCAAAACCATCTATAAAATCAACAGTATCTTTTTTTCAGGAGGAAGAGAGGTTAGTTATGTTTCTCTTAGACAAGAAATACCAGTTTCACACAGAGGCAGCCTGTTCATACCTGAAATTCGTTTATGTATTGTGCCATTACAAATTCATGCCTTTCACCTGCTGAAGGCTCTGCTAATATATCAGGCAGGTTTTTTGAAACTTGGCTTGTCTTCTGAGAAGCAGTGCCATTTAGGTGACAGTCAAAACCAAGATTACCAGGCAACTGGAATCTCTGGTCCTGAGGACCAAATGGACCCATTACTTCATCTGGCCACACAGTTCTTGGACCTGCAAAAGTCAAAGCCTTGCTTTAGTCATCACTTCTAAAAAGAAAGAGGAAAAATAAGAAAGAAGAAAAAAAAACCTCTCCCATAGAAATATCTGTATTTGATCCCAATCACAGATAACCAAAGTAAACAGAATCCACAACTAAAAGTGAGGACCCTGACACAAAACGCACACTTCAGAATTCCCAAATTCATACAGGGTGCAAAGTTCTGATAGCACACAGATTCAAAGAAAATTAATTTGCTTTTTCTTACATAAATCAGGAGGTGTAGCAGCAACATGAGGCTCATCTGAGCCAGAGGAACCTGCTGTAGAAAAAGCCTTGGGATTTACAACTCTTTTGACTAAGGAATAAAACCCTGGTAGGTAGGTGACCAATCTTGCTCTGTTACAGAGCACCTGAGAAGACAAAAACAAAAGAAGTGTTACATACTGACAGCAAAAATACTAGTTTAAGTACAGCTTTGTGGATCACAAGATAAATCCTCACTCAATAATTAAACTACAATTTTAATTATGATCAACTGTGTTTCTGTAAAATCAAGTTTTAAAAGTATTTTATTACTGCTTTTATATTTTACTAGTAATAGTATTCTAAGTAAAGGAAAAGCCTCAAAAACACTTATTGAAAAGCCTTCTCCTGTGAGGAAAAAACCCTGAGAAGTTTAAATAGCACCACTGAAACCCCAGAACCTAAGCTAAGTCATGGGTGAGGATTGTTTCCATGCATGTTACTGTTTCCATGGTTGCCACAATTCAATAATGGGATTAATCATCAGAAATACTTAGAAATATTGTTAATTAAGTAAATGCTGATATCCAAGATGTTTGCCTTGAGGGCTTGTACAAATGTTAGCCAGCCTATACTCCTACTTCTTGAAAGGCTGGAGGGAGACACAAGATAATATCACTACAGATACATCTTGCAGCTTTCATATTTCATATTACACATATTTCTTTGCCAGCAAAGTACACATACCAACAGCTGTGAGCTATACAGGGAGACAGGTGTATCAAAACACACAGGTGTGATAATTTCAGCTTCTTTCTTTTGCTCTCAAAATCCATAAATGCTTAACATGCACAATTTAATTTTGTGCAGCTAATGCTATTTCGATTTGCAAGCTCAGTACATTCACATGTTCATAAACAAGCGTTACTGCATGCATCAGTACAGTTGTCAAAATGCCAATAAACCATAAAACCTTTATGAATTCTGTGGGCTTGGAACACACCAGAAAATTTGCTTCCTACCACAGAGCTGTACTGTCAACACAACTTTCAGTTGCTGAAGGTGATTCTATCAGAAACTGATTCAGCCAGACAGCAAACAGAAAATTATGCAATGCTATCTCCCTGAGCATGCAAATGGTCTCAACAACAGGGCTTCAAGGAGCTAAAGGCTCCTCACCATGAGGATCAACTCTGAGGACCAGTGACAGTATCTTAAACAGTAACGTGAGCGACTGTTACTGGGGGGTTTTTTTTGTGGGTTTTGTGTTTTGTTTTGGTTTTTTAAACATGAAATATCCAGGTGATGTCAGTAAACGGAAAAGTCTGATTTATATTTTATACTTTAAAAAGAGACTGACAACTTTCACGATGTATTTACACATGCATAGCAAAAAACATAACTAATCATACACTCAAAACATAGTTAGAAGTGTAATTTCAAAAAAAAATAAAGACTACTTAACTCCAGTACAAAACTACTAATACTCCTGACTACAGTTGCACAAAAGCATGCATTACTGCAAAATATAAATCCCACCTGCCATAACATGTGTGCTTTCCTAAAACTTTACTTTCCAGTGAGGGAAAGACATTATTTTGAGAAACTGACATAAAGGGATTTTCCTTAAGTGCTTTATTCTTGATTCTGTAGAAGTTTATGCCTGTGTTTACTAAACATGTATGCTACAGGGTTACTTCAAAAAGTGAGAAAATTGTGGCATTTGTATGTTTAAGACAAAAGCTCTATTCAGAGTATCAGGACCTGGGCCAGTAAGCATCAGATTCTTACACATCACCTCTGCGTAAACATACAATGTCTAGCAAGTTCTATCAACATCAAAAAGACTCAAATGCATAAAAGCACGTTTGATTTTCTGACTTAAATCTATAATTCAGAGTTAAGGCCTTAAGCTGTCTACTTCTAAAACACCGCTAGGTCTGAAAGGTTCCTGTAACAACAACAAAAGTCTGCTGATCCCACTTGAATGCTTCCTCCTCTATTAGGTAAAAGCTCTATTGACATTAATTTTTGCATAATAATTATATTACAGATAAAACAAACACAGCTGACACATAACTACAAGGAAAGAGCATTTTTTTTCTTACAATCAGGATCACTTAACATGGAGACGTTAGTGTTAATCACAGACGTGTTGACTGGGCTCACTTACGCAAATATTTATGTACCCAGCAAAAGAACACTGCTGAGATCAATAAATTATTCATGTCCCCGTGGCAAAACTAAATCAATAAAGCCTGGCTTATTCTCCACTCTGAAAGTACCCTGGTGAACCTCAGTGTTTAATCTTAACTCATAACATAAAAAAAAAAAAAAAAAACAACAAACCCAAACCACCCACAGATCCTACTTAATCCTCGATTTGATTATTCCCATGATATCCACAGAAATTGGCTTCCAAAACTTAGATGGACAGACAACACCTAATCAAACTGTGCCGTAGTACAACTGAGATTTTTACCAGGGAGCCCCCCATAAGCCTGATGATTTAAAGACACTTTTAAAGGGAAATCAAACAAAACGCAAGCGCTCTGCTTCGACAGCGCCTGTTTGCGAGGGTGGACGAGGCTCAGGGGCGGGTTTCCAGCCCCCTCCCGTATCACAAACCGGCAGAGAAGGGGTCACGCCCGGGAGGCGCGGAGCCGCGCTACTCACGCTGGCCATTGCGGACGGCGGG